ACTTGCTCTTTGCATACGGCCTTCTCGAAGCCATGCCTGACAACACCTAACCACAGTGTCTACAGTTCTTTGCACTCTAACTGCAATTGCCCGAAAAGAAAGTCCAGCTTCCCGAAGTCCCACTATACGGCTCCTATCAAACTCACTAAGTTGACGAAATTGTACAGGTCTCCGTACTCTAGGCATCGTAAACCGAGCGTAAAAGATGTCAAGAACCAAAATCCGCCAACGTTGATTCTTTACTGCGGCTAAAATATTCATTTTTAGAGCACTAATGAATTAAAAAAAAAGCAGTATAAAAACCGGAATGTCCAACTGATAAGGCTGAAAATTTTTTCGCTTGTTATTTACAGTAAGATAAATACATTCACCAACTTTTATTAACATAAAACCATTTAAACTGGGTGTTCGGATTTATATGTCACTTAGTATAATCATTAATAAGCAGAGGTAAGTCATAGCAGATGCTCAGAATGTTGTCCGTTATTTTGTAGGCAAAGCCTGACTCTTGTCTGTACATTGTTCATTGTTCGATTCATTTTCCTTCTTCTGAGTCTATCCAAAATATTTGTTACTATGTTCAATTGGAGGTCTGGTTTGGTATGCGAAACAAATTATCTGATAATTTCAAGGCCTACATAGAAAATGTTGTTTCTTTAGAATAATATACATTTTTGGAATGAGAATTATTCATTCAATATGGCGCCTATAAGAAAACATTAAGTTGTTGCTGGAGGACCAGAACAAGACATCGTATTGAAGTTATAATTATTCCATCTAAGGTGCCATAATGGTACTGATGAACGGAAGTGAATTAATTAATGTTTGGAAACGAGCAATGTCTATGACATTTTTGGTTGAGTCTGTCATCAATCAGGTGTTTAATGGCTATCTGTAAAATCGCATATCAATTGAAGGAAATAATATATACATGAATAAACTATCAACAATAGTAAGAAAAGACATGAATTATATTCAAAAATCAAACATTTCAATAATGTTGACTGAATTTTATGTATTTTCTTAATATTCAATAAGCTGGTGATGTTTAAATGACAAGCTGTCATCTCATACTTTGACAATATCTTTTTTTAAATATTTCATAGCTATTGGTTGCAAAAAAATTGGATTTTGAAACATGAAACATTTCGATTATTATAATATAAGATTTCTGAAAAATACTGTGCTGTATGGGTTGATGTGCATACGTGTACCTATTACATTGATATAGTCATGGACGCAATAAGCCGGCATATTAAAAGATCTATTTAACTAAATATGAATAAAATCTCATAAAACATTTAAAATATCATCAGTGATATTTCAGAAACGATATGAATGAAATATTCCTTATCCCTCATTTCAGTCTCTCAAACATTTTCGAAATAATTGCGAAATATTACAAAATCAATATTTCTGAGGAATGTCGGAATACTCATTTCAAAAAAAATAATATTGGGAAAAATATGTAATATACCAGAAATATCTAATGTGCTTGTACGGTTATGCCCTGTTGCGACCGACAGGCGACGCTGCACACCGTCAAAAGTATACTAAGTGACATATAAATCCGAACACCCAGTTTAAATGTTTTGATTTTAATAAAATTTTGTAGAAGTACTTAATGAAGCATAATAAGTAAATGATAAAAACTTCAAAATGATTGCACTGCTTTAAAGCCCTTTGACCTTTAATAATGTGTGGATGCACTCTGATGTGCTACGCATTCTCCAACGCGCCTAGGTATGTTTCTGATCAGGTGGTCAATGTCCTCCTGTGGTATCTCATTCCAGGCAACCACCAACTCCTCTCGAAGTGCTTCTAGAGTCTGAGGAGGACGTTGCAAATTGAGCAATCTCCTACCCATCATATCCCACACGTGCTCAATTGGGGATAAGTCGGGAGATCTTGGTGGCCATGGTAACAATGTGACATCATTATGTTGAAAGAAGTCTATTGTGACTCTTGCAACATGTGGTCGGGCATTATCTTGTTGGAAAGTTGGATCTGCGAGGGTGTCAAGATAGGGTAAAAGATGGGGTTCTAGAACTTCGTGGATATAACGCTGCGCGTTCATGTTACCTCTGATGAAGATTAAAGGTGACCTGGAACCATAAGCTATAGCACCCCAAACCATAACTCCAACAGTGTGATGAACATGTCTTTCAACAAAAAACTGTGGATTCCTCCTTTCACCACGTCGCCTTCTAACCCTTACACCGACGTAATCGCCTTGAGTGGTGCAGACAACGGTCACTCTGGGATCAGGAATGGAACAGTATTGTCTTTAGTGACGAATCTCGATTTTGTTTAGGCATGCACGATGGTCGTGCCAGGGTTAGAAGGCGACGTGGTGAAAGGAGGAATCCACAGTTTTTTGTTGAAAGACATGTTCATCACACTGTTGGAGTTATGGTTTGGGGTGCTATAGCTTATGGTTCCAGGTCACAGGTCACCTTTAATCTTCATCAGAGGTAACATGAACGCGCAGCGCTATATCCACGAAGTTCTAGAACCCCATCTTTTACCCTATCTTGACATCCTGGCAGATCCAAATTTCCAACAAGATAATGCCCGACCACATGTTGCAAGAGTCACAATAGACTTCTTTCAACATATTGATGTCACATTGTTACCATGGCCACCAAGATCCCCCGACTTATCCCCAATTGAGCACGTGTGGGATATGATGGGTAGGAGATTGCTCAATTTGCAACGTCCTCCTCAGACTCTAGAAGCACTTCGAAAGGAGTTGTTGGTTGCCTGGAATGAGATACCACAGGAGGATATTGACCACCTGATCAGAAGCATGCCTAGGCGCGTTGGAGAATGCGTAGCACATCAGGGTGCATCCACACATTATTAAAGGTCAAAGGGCTTTAAAGCAGTGCAATCATTTTGAAATTTTTATCATTTACTTATTATGCTTCATTAAGTACTTATGCAAAATTTTATTAAAATAAAACCATTTAAACTGGGTGTTCGGATTTATATGTCACTTAGTATATAATTGGTTCGTCACCCGTCATCTGTAGCCTGTCGTCTATCACCCGCTTCCCATCGCCTGACACCTCGGAGTATAATCACGACCTTAGTCTTGACCCCGCCAATTATGATAGTTTTTATAGTTTTGAATAATGGTCACTAGTTTCCAAAAACGTCTTTATCTTAAATTTCGTTTTTCAACAGAGTCTGCAGAAGCATCCCCAGTGTGTAATATTAGTCAGGTTTCTCCTAACAATGATTATGGTATCAATAATTAATAGTATAGAACGAATATGAATCATTATACGCAATTTTACCTCTATACAGAACCGTTATCAAAGATTATTACGTAGGTATATCATTTTCGTTAAAAGTGAAATGAAGCACCTGCCTGTGGACATTCACTAGTAAAATACAACTCGAAATAAACATCATAATGATTGTTTCGTCGATGCGCGATCCTACGCGGGAAAGAAAGTTCTGCAGCTAATTAATTAAAACTTTTGTTGCTCTGATTAATAACGAAAATATATCTTTTACTTTGCTCGCGCTCTGTTTCACTCTAGTATTCCAATTTTTTACTTTTACGCCGACCGTTTTTAAGACGGACACACACGCGAACGTCCAAAAGTCTATGCGGAGAGCGTCATCTCGGCACTATTGGGATCTCGGAAAAACTGTAAGGGATACGAAGTCGCTTAAACGGGAGCACAGTTGTGTATTTAGGTAGCTAATAAAATAATAATAATAATAATAATAACCGTCTTTATTATTGATATAAGACATTGACAAAATGGTAAGTGAACATAAGTACATCCAGTGTCAATAAAAGGCGAAGTTCAGTTTGATTAGTACACAGTACTAACAACCTGCTCTTTCACTTAGCCCAGTATCCTCTACGACATATGACAGCCGATAAACCGATAATACATACATGTCACTATAAAAGAGGGACATACCTACACGCTAACAAAAAAAAAACAATCATTCATTCATTCATGCGGCGCTACTGTTTTTTCAGCAGTTCCTTTTTAAACATGGCTTTGAAGTTATCTATTCTAGAAAATTTTAGTTCCTTCCGGACTGAGTTGTAGACTTTGAAGTTGAGTCATTAATTTTCAGATAATGATTGTAGAAGGAAGATAAACCAGAATATGTGTGTAAAAATAAAAAAAAATTAAAAAAAAATGTTTACCTTGTTTTATAAAGTATCCTCCCGACAAGTATTTCAGTGCGGACCTGTATTTGATCGTGAGGTCCCCTGTGAGGTCTTAAGTCACCTGATTCACGAGCCCGTTGTACTACATTAACAAAGGCACGAGGGGTTGGTTGCACTCGATTGGGAAACCGATCCGCATAAACATGTGCCATTTTTTATTTCGTTTGAGCCACGCAACAGACACTATTCACACGCGACTGACACTAACTGTATGTATAACTGAACTGAATAAAATAAACATCGTTCCAAATTCTTTCGCTTTTTTGTTTCCGATGCGATGAACCGATAAGGTGGATTATATCCGTTGTTGCCAAACACGAGTTCATGATATTATTGAGACAGGGCGGTACTCAAACTTCCAAAGGGCTATAACTTTGTTACTTTAACTTTACCAGAAAAATGGTAAAGGAAAAAAACATTTCTTTTGATCATATCTACTCACTGTTAAAATAAATGACTCAACTTCGAAGTCACCCTATATAATGGATTTTACATGAATCAAACATAATTAATGGAATTAAAATTTTTATGTAGCTACACTAGGGTTAAGTTCCGACATTCATTTCCTCGTTGTTATCTCATTTTGATCTTGGCAGACACTCCATTCCCCTTGAACTCTTTTCAAATGTACAACGTTCCTTCTTCGAATTTGACCGGTTTCATTGCTTCTTACCGTGATATCTCCTCCTTTCGTGTTTTCCACTGTGCGTGTTTCTGGATTGTAGTCTAAGCTTAATTTATTTTCTTTATTTACATTTTTATATACACTTTGTCTCCTGGTATTAAATCACACTCTTCACCTTCCAGCCTTGTTCATGTCTCCCTTTTCTTTTCCTATTTGCTTTCTTTCTTGATCTCTATCCTTAACCTCTGTGTCTTGTGCTGTCCTCTCCATTGTATCGTTTACCATAGGTAATTTATCTCTAACTTCCTTTTGAAGAAAAGTTCTGATGGGGTTCTTCCCGTAACAGAATGTGGTGTGCTGTTGTACATGGTCAAATAATCCAGCAAACTTTCTTTCCAGTCTTATTTTCAGCTATACTTATTTTCAGACGTTTAAGTATGTCACGGTTCTGTCGTTCAACCTCTCCATTTTGTTGCGGCCAATATGGTACTGTATTGAAGGATGATGTTTCTTTCGGTTAGAAATGACTTAAACTCTTCGCTGATAAATTGCCTTCCATTATCTGCAGTTATTGAAATTGGATTTCCTAATCGACTGAATATTTCTTTAAGTTTGGCTACAATTTCAGTAGAGGGTAATTTTACGACAAATCTTCACTTCTTTATATCTGCTGTATAATTAGACTACAACAAATAGATGGTCACCACTTGGAAGGGGACCCATCAAATCAATTGCAATATCAATCCAAGGCCTTCTGGCAACTCACGCCGTTTCATAGGGTTTGGTGTACATGGTGCAGATACAAGAGTACATCCTCTACATGCTTTTACCGTATTCTCGGCCTCTTTGTCGCATCTAGGCCACCAGACTTTCGTGCGAAGTCTTGCCTTCATTGACACGATACCGGGATGTCCCTCGTGAGCTGCATCCAAAACTCTTTTACGGAGTGCCGAGGGAACTAAAATTCTCATTCCTCTCAATAATATACCCTCGTGGAAACAAAGTTCATTTTGAAAGATTTTATACAACTTCACGTCATCGTTCCATATGTTCCGATATAAACCCTCTTTCACATTCCGTATTTCCCTATCGTCCATTGAGCTATCTATTATTTCTTTAAGAGAAACAGCACGAGGTCGGGCAAACTCTACAATTTGGCAAATGTGATTGTCCTCTAGTTTTATCAGGGATTTCTCCGCACTTCTGCTTAGTCTAGACAATGAATCTGCGATATTGGTTTTTTCCTGGTTGATAAACTATTTTATAGTCGTACGATTGTAAGCGCATAACCCATCTCTCTATCCTCGCACATGGTTTAGATTTAGGCCAAATATTACTTCCAACGGTTTGTGGTCTGTTATGAGTTCAAATCTTTTACCATAAAGGAATATGTGGAAATGTTCCACTGCCCATACAAGAGCTAGCGCTTCTTTTTCTGTCTGGCAATAGCGGCGTTCACAGTCAGTCAAAGTTTTGTGGCCATATGCAATAATCCTAGGCTCACCTTTGGAATTAGTTTGAACTAAAACTCCGCCCAAACCCACAGGACTAGCATCTGCTATGACAATCGTACGATCGCTAACATTATAATACCCTAAGCTAGAAATATTTGACATGATTTTCTTTCAACGACTAAAACATGACTTTTGTTCTGATCCCCAGTTTTCGGTTATGTCCGTTCGATTTCCTGTTTTGTTTCTTAGTAGGATTTTAAGAGGGTTCTGTTACCGTGGCATAGTTGGGTATCCATTTGCTCACAAAATTAACGAGACCTAGAAACTTTGTAGCTCTCCGGTAGTTTTAGGTGCTCTAAATTCTTTTATTGTGGAAATGTACCTTTTTTAATGGTCTTACCCCTTCTCCTGACAGCTCATGTCCTAGAAAACTCACTTTTTCCATTCTAAAACAGCATTTGTCATTTCTTATCACTACGTTATTTTCATTTAAAACAGATATTACTTTTTTTAATCGCAAATCATGTTCAAGCGAGTCCTTTCCGTATATCAAATGTCGTCAATGTAATTTACCACACCTTCACATCCTAAAAGCATGCGTTCTAATGTTTTCTGGAATATTTCTGGGGCACACGATATACCAAACATGAGTCTCTTATACCTGAATAAGCCTTTACTGGTTATAAAGGTGGTTATGTGTCTTGAAGCCGGATCTATTTCAAGTTGGTGAAATGCATCTTTAATATCCAATTTTGTAAATACCTTCGCATTTTTCATTTTAGGCAGCAGCTTGTCCATTGTCGGCAATGGGGTGATTTTCACGTATAATGGCTTCATTAGCCCGGCGCATGTCAATACAAAGACGTACTTCTCCATTTTCTTTCAGCACCGGCACAACAGGGGACACCCATTTAGAAGAACCAACTACCGGCTCTATAATATCCCTTTGTTTAAGTTCTTCAATTTTGTTTTCAATTTTTGCCTCTAAAGGTATAGGGATCCTCCTAACATGAAACAGTAAAAATAATACATCAGTAATAACACTAATAACCTTTTAATGAATGATAATTATAACAATGTAATAAAGCAATGTGTGTTATGAGGGTAACAATCAACATTTCAGATCGAATAACTATCAATGAACATTACACACATATTTATCAAAATACAATTTAAATCAGTACCTGTAAGGTTGTGATACGGGTGGGATTGAATGATCGATTGGCAAGTGGATTGATACATCTTTAAATTTGGGGAAAATCTGGTAATCTACTTGATTAACTTCTGCATCCAATCCAATTCTCAAAACTCCTAATGCTATTGCCGAAGTTTTCCCTAAAAGATTTCTAGTGCCATCGATAACAACATAGAAAGTTGAGTTTTTCGGATCTTACTCCTACTTTAATCTGAGCCTCGAATGATCCTTTTATCTTCAGTGGTGTAGGGCTACCATAAGCCATAAATGTAACATCGGGATTTGGAAGTTGATTATACACATTAACTTTGTTTTTCTTTATTTTTCCCAAGTTCTTTCCGTAATCAAATTCTGTTTGCAGCCCGAATCAATCAGCATCTTAGTTTGTACTCCTCCAATAGTGCACTTAATTTCCACATCGTCATCAATGTGGAAAACATACTCAGTTTCTTCCTCCTTATGGGCTGTGTTGTTAGAAGAGTCACCCACTTCGTTAACTTCATTCTTCTCCCTGTCAAAACGACCTTTCTTTTGTTCATGTCTATATTCCCTATCCACTCTCCGCTTCAATGTCTGTTTCGTTCGGCAGTATTGTCTGAAATGCCCCTTAAGACCACACTTTAGGCATTCTTTGTCCCTTGCTGGGCAGCTTTCATCATTCCCAGCATGTCTAGGATTACCACATCTACCGCATCCATGTTGAACATTCCTTGATTTATCAAAGTTCCTTTTAAATTTACTATCCATCCTGTTTACTTCTTGATTCTCATTTGATCTAAGTGGGTTTTTGAACTCTTCCAATTGTTTATTAACAACTTCAAGGGTATTTGCTTCGGTGATTACTTGCTCTAATGTAATGTCATCTCCAATTTTTAGTATCTTTTTCCTCAGTTCAGGTAGGAAACATTTTTCTGTTATCTGGTCAATAATGTTCCCTTCCCTGTCGGCAAACTGACATTTGTCGGCTTGTTTCCTCAATCGCAAGACAAATTTTTCGAATTTTTCGTCAGGTTCTTGTTTAAGGAGCCTGAAAATGTGTCTCTCGAACACTTTGCTTTGTCTTGGTGCAAAGTACGCATCAAGTTTTGATATCGCTATTTCAAAAACGTCTACGCCTTCGGCTGGTTCCACGTTGGCCCCAGGAATGTTATAGAATACTTCCTGCAGGTCTAGCCCGCCGAAATGTAGAAGGGAGGCCCTTTTCTTGATGTCTCTGTCAATATTAGCCGCTTCGAGGTAGATGAATAGCGCTCGCTTCCATCGATCCCATCGTGCACCCACTGAGGTAGATTCCCCGTTACACTCAAACTTTTCTAGTGAAAGGTGTGACATCTTTGGGCGACCTGGAATAATCAATTTAATGATTCAGATATCTATGTATCTGTAGTTAGATTTTATCTTAGATGCTTCCATCTCATATCAATTTAATGATCGGATTATAGTTTTTATCCGCATAAATCTACTTAAGCCGTCCATACCGGCAAACGTATAAATTTAATTATCAGATTTTAATCTGCTAATTTAGTACCTACGAACCTCATACAATAATAATTTTATTGTAAGGCTTTTGTTTATGATATCAATTTAATGATCAGTTCGCTTCCAACTGCTTTGAGTAGATACTCCCTTCTATTTATCAGTACCTATTAATCACGACAACATAGTTTTAATCAATTTAGGGAAACAGATCCAATTTAATCTGCGTTAGTTTTGGTACCTACCGATCTAACGGTCACCGGTTGTCTTTAAACCTTGCTATTTTGTAAACAAACAGGTACATGACTAAAATACAAGCATAATACAACATATTTCTCCCACTACGTAGGTAGGTATTACAAAACATCTTACATTTAATGTACTCGTAGTTTAACCTAGCTGAATTCATAAGTATTCATTTGTTTACTTGCACCGTATCGCCATTTTTCCCATTTGTTTTTGCTCACTAATGTGTACTTACTATTTTCCTCGTCGCCACATGTAATGTCCCGCTTCTTGGAGTGTTTTACGGCTCACCAACGCCACAACACCTGAACAATCGTCCTTCGCACAACCGCTCCGCTCGAGTGTCGGTTTTCGACTGCCCAGTGAAGTAGGCGCATGAGACAACCAAGCAACACTTTATCTAGTCAATACACTACCTACAGGTATTATACTGTATTTCAAGATATGTGGAAATTTGTAAATTAACTATTTTCTCCAACACTTTTGACAGAACGGTCTGAGGTCAGCTAGGTCGGATGGATTGGCTTTTTTGAGAACATTCAAGAAAGCTCATTTGAAACATTCAAATGGCTGTAACCGACCAGCTGAAGGCTATTCCAGTATCGGAGTTCCAGACCTGCTATGAGGAGTGGAAGAACCGTCTCCAGCGCTGTCTGGCTTCAGAAAGGAGTTATTTTGAGGGTAAAGATATAAAATAGTAATTATAATTGGTTAAAAAATTGAAAAGATCGGTTTCGTCACTTAATTTTTAGACGTCGTATGCTAAATACCGCACGATTATACGAATACTGACGAGACAAAGAAGCCTACCAAAACCCGGATAAGCCAGACGCATAAACATTCGTCCGCATAGGATCAAAAAATGAAAAGATATAGTCAAGTAGGTTGACTCTGGACTTCCAACGTCAAACACATCCATACAATTAGTTCATAGACATTCTTTCCCTGGCCAAATGGTATTGCATCTGGAAATGGCTATTCTTCCCGATACCCATATCGGACAGTCATGGCACCGTGGTGGCGCGGTCAGAGTATAGAAAACAGGAGAAGTACCTGAGATTCTATACCATAATACTAATCGGGGCCGGCGCGCGACGCCAGCAGCAGCCGCGGCCGGAGCTATGCGCACCGTCTGCTGAGAAACTTTCCAGAGCAAATGTACAGAGAAATCTATGATGTATGAAGAATGTTTAAGATGTGCGTAGAACTGCCAATGTTTGGAGCATACCAGCATCAAAAATTAAAAATTGAGGTAAACCGTCACCAGCACCACCAGCTTTTTCTATAAAGTTTTTTCAAAAGTTTTATCTTCTGAAACGTCAAAAAACGAAGTTTTTTTTGGCTTTAACCCTTTTTCTCTGCCGCCACTGGACCAATATTCAAAAACTTTAAAGCTTTTGCGACCTTCACATAGTAGTAATATTGAATCAAAATTTCATAGAAATCCGGGCGGTACTTCTTAAGTTGTTACCAGATTCGCGGACAAACAGACAGACAGACTGACAGACAGACCGACAGGAATACGTTTTTCATGATGTACATGTCATCTAATATGTAGAAAACATAATATCTCATTTTCTAAAATTTTCGCGATTACCTTCCCGCCAGTAGACGTGGGAAGTAAAAAGCCAAACATGTCCGGTTTAGGCTGGATAGAAGGCAACCCTACCTGTAAAGTCCGAATCCACCGGCTCACTTGTTTACAGGAATATCATAATTACGACGCTAATCAGTCACCTTTTGATGTCAGTTCATTATCCTTTGCATAGTCGCACACTTTCCCTTTCATCCCCTAATCCAAACCTATATCATCCTGGCTTACCCCTTTACCAAACCGTATCATTAACCATGACCCTTTAGAGCTTGAACACGCTGTGCATCCAGAAAGACACTGAGGTTAATTATATGGGTTGAATTTCGACGAATTGGATCAATTATCCCGCGCTTATTGCGATAGCAACGGGGGAAAATTGACTTGGAAATTTGTCTTGGTAGGTACTCAAAGCACCGTTGAGAAACCTCGAGATCTTCCCAGTCGAGACCGTAATTGCTAGTCCGGGTGCATAAATATGATAAAACGTTCAGCCAAGCAAATTGTGATAGTGGTTTTGCTGAAAAATTTATGCGGATGGCAGCGTTCACTTTGCTTTTTCTGGTGGCCGCGTTGCACAGATATATCTCAGAGTGCTTTGGCTGAAGCCTTTCGTACACGGAGCAAAGTGAACGGAGTTTATAATTTTATTGTAGTTGTCATCTAAAGGTAAGCAGCTGGACAGGGTTACCAGATGGGCGGGACTCTGCATTGTCCCGACATTCCATAAGGAGTCCAGAGTCCCGGCAAAATACAAACTGTCCACAAATAACAGAACACGAATTTAAAATTATAAGTAGTTTGCTGTATCTAATAAATTTGATTTTAATTATAAAACATAACTTTTTATTTCGTAATACTTAATAACAATAATAATAAAAAAGACTTTATTTACCTGGCGGATATTCACTTTATTAGCTGCTTAACGATATCAACCAGGGCAAAAATTAAAGAAATAGCTGATAGTATATATGTATAAAAAAAACATGGTAGTATGAGGCATGTATACGTATTCCTCCATTCCGACGTGGATAATTTCGGTTATCGAAAAACAGACAGCAGACGCACCGTCGTCACTGAAACAGACATTTCTCCAAGGAAAGGTAAAGAAGAAGTCTCTGAGCCCGTCCCAGTCGGCATGTCCGTAATGTCACATTTTGCGGCCTGCGCGGGTTTCTGCTGAAACAGCGGGTTCTGATCGAAACCTAAAGTCCACAACACAATGGTCTGAGTGACCCAGGGAAGACAGGACAGCAGAGCCGTAAGCGACAGGATGCGTGGTCAGAAAGAGATCTAGAGGATACTGGCATGTGACGAGACGCGGGGCAAACAAAGTAGGGCCCGTCACTATCTGCTGCATCGGTCTTGTTTGAGCCCAACCAAAGCAAATTATGGTCATTGAAATAAGCGAGGAGAACTTCCTCTGAAGCGGAGTGATTGATGCTCAGGAAGTCCATCTTGACGGCGAGGTATTCAAGAAGGTCATCCCAGTTATGGTCCGAGAGGAGCGATGAAGGCAACAAATAAATTTGAGGGATGTTTTGGAGTTGAGGCGAAGCCACAGACTGTCCTTCCGGTCTGATTCCAGAGGAACATCTCTGCAGTAGGAAAGACTGCTGCGGACAAAGGCCATAACTCCTCCGTTCTTTCTCAGATTGGAGTGCACCTCGTAATTTGGTAAGCTAAGATGGTTAATCGGTGCGGTTAAGAAAAGCATGGCGAGACGATTGGATT